ATCCTCCTCTTGCATGGAGGAGTCAAAGTACAAATCTGTGCATTATAATGTTTTCGATTACTTATGCAAAGTAGGTCTTTAAGAAAAGGGTTAGAAGATTCATTGCAAAAAGGTCCAGAGACTATACTAGGACTATTGGCTTCAACTGCCTTCTCCAAGCATGTAGATTCAGAATTTGAAAAAATCTCCCAGCTTGGGTAAACTGGATTAAAAAGGATTGAATATTCAATTCATCTGAGAATTCAAGTTACAGGCAATTGAAAATTGAGTCTTGGTTTTTGTAGGAAAGGCTTGGGCCACCTCAGGTAACTTGAAGAAAGGCTACTTATGGAAAGGTCTATGCTGTAGTAGGTGCTTCCTTCCAGGATGTATTTCTCAAACATCATTGAGAAATGGGAACAAAATCTTAGTCTACTGATTGTGCTAAGGGGCTCCATCTCCCCCTTTCCACTGTTTGGAGCATCTTGCATCTCCCATCTTGTGTGTTGCACAAAAAAACCTTGGAGCATACATAGGATTTCACTCAGCAGCCATCCCCAAGGAAATAATACCAGTCTCTAAAAATTTCATGTTCCTGCATGGTACGTGGGTAGCTGAACAGTGATATTTAGTATCAGCCTAATACCTCTATGTTGGCTTTCATTGGACATCGATACTTGTCTACCCATGGATTTAATTCTTGTATTTTAATTTTTCAAACATAAGCACATTAGAATAACTGTATATAGGAGACGTCCCACTGAATTCAAGAAGGTGCGCGTGCTCATACAACTATTTGTTTGACTGTTGGGGTTGCAGCTAGAATTAACAAACCCAGCTGTTACCAGTGAAAAACTCCCCCTAAACCCAGCATGGGTTTGGAAGGAGTTGACTGTGGAATCAACTAACTAGGTTTCAGGATAATATAAAGCATGGTCTTATCCAGTCATTTCATTCATCATGTACTTTTTCCTGCAAGAACTGCCATTTTAAAAATCACAACACAAAACACTTTTCAACACCGCTTAGCTTAAGTTGATGCTAATTTTGTCTGCTTCCCTCTTTAACCAGCTAGAAGTTGGCACTTAAGCTTACTGGACTCTTGACCAATCCACAGATGATCTCGTGGATTAACTTCAGGAAGAGATTGAACGATCATGACCTCATCTTGATTAATAACTAAGCACAAAGTCTTCCCTCCAGAGTAACTTTCCGACAGTAAGTTCCTCCCTCACAACCTTGTAACACACTCTCCCATGCACTTACCCAAGCATGAATAAACAAGAAAACAAAACATTATCAAACTGTTTCACTCACACACTGAAGAAAGCTTATTTTCAGATTTGAATTCCTCAGAAGCACAGATGTTGTCAACTATAAAATGCATGGGCATAAGGAATTTTGAAAGTAACAGCTTTTTTTTTTTTTTACACTTAGTATAGCATTAAAGCAGATCCCTGTAGTGTTTTGACAATCTGCATCTCATATATTCCAAAGCTTTCTGCTCTACTAAATATCACCATATACAGTAGTTCCTAACTGCATTTTTAAAATTTCTTTTTGTGATATACAATATTTCAAGTTCAACTGAGATGTTGTTATTAAACATCTGGAGACTGAAACTATGGTACTGGACAATGAAAGAACACCATCCCATAAAACACAACGTACAAACCATTTTTCACAGTTCTAACAAAATGAGATTGTACATAAAAATGTCACAAATAGCTCAGTACATTGGTATGATCAAAATAATATTAAGTCCAGCTGATATTGTCACATGTTAAGGGCCAAATCCTGGCTCAATGAGCAGTTGAAGCCTAAACAGATGTTTAGAGAAAATAATATAAAGCCACACTGAAGTGCTAAACTGATAACAATACCATTTGTTAATCTACCTAAGATTTTTGGCCTGAAGTATGTATCTAATTTGTGCTACAGAACGACCACATGGCCAGTGGTGCTTGGCTCCTGTCCTAGGACACGTCTTTATGGATTTGTTGCGGCCAAGGGCAGTGGAGGCTGAGGAGCAGTCTTCCCTCTGGATATGACAGTTTTGGCAGGCATCTATGTCTACTGTGCTGCCAGAATTTGGCCAAGAGTTCAAAATCCTGTACATCTTATTCTGCAGTCCCAGTGAAGTCAATGGAACTTTTTTGTGAGTAAGATGAAAAGGATTTGGCCCCCAAAGTTTTTAACCCTTTAAGTAGTAAGAGAGTAGTTTCATTGCACTTAGCCCATCATTCACAAAGAACTTTCTACTCAAAAACAGGAGATGGTTGTTGATGCACAGGAAGTGTTGGCTCACAAAGAGGAAAGCAAGCAGCAACATCTGACTACTCACAGCATTTTGGAATTGAATTCCTAAAGGGAAAAAGAGACACTTGCATATGACAATTTCATCCAATGTCTGTCTGAGGCCAAAATTCTTCAATTCCTAAATACCATCTAAATGGATAACTTAAAAACAGTAAATAACTGGAGTCTGTGTACGGCTATAACTGGATATGTGTATGTGTGTCTTCATGTCTTCATTGGACTGGATGGATAAGCAATTTCATCTAATAATACTAAAATTCTACAAAAAAAAAAAAGTTTTGGAGCAGATGGATTTTTCAAAGAGCTTCCTAAATACTTTTATATGGAACACATGGTCATGACTTTGGGAAAAGAGAAATTTTGCTCTCATCCACAAAAAGCTTTAGTGACTGGAATGGGCAAGAACAGCATTTTCATATTTAAACCAAAGTAATGTTACTCTGTTACACAATTCCATGTTTTGTTCTGTGACTGTGGGTTTGAATTAATGAGAATTAAACAGGATAAAGAGTAACTGTATGCAAATTAAATTAATTAAAACTATATGACAGTGCTACTCTGACCAAAAGTTATTGCAATGCAGTATATTCTAATAACATGAAGCACTCAAAAATAGAATGTGGGATTTAAAATTGTTTGGTCAGGATGCAGACATGAACTCTTAAGTTCCAGTAAGAACTGGAAAACAGGACTGCGGGCCATGGAGTTTAATCCCAACCAATGAAGCGAATGACTTCATCTCTAATACTGTGTCACGCTCATGCTGATGCTCAATACATAGCTGCAACAAAGCTACAAAGAGCAGAGTATGAGTCCTGAAAATGCTTGCCTCAACAATATCTACACTTACAGACAATTTTATAGCATTCCCCTTTTGCAAATGACATAGATAAAAATCTGTCTGCCTTGTAAACACTGCTGAGAGTGTGCCGTCTCATTGGCACCAGAGCCTGGAGGTGTCAAGGACAATCTGAGGAAACCCCACGTGAAGCCTCTATGAATTGGTTAAGGTGAGTTAATTCCTACCCCTTTGGTTATATTAAATCATTTTAGTTCCTTGTATTGCTTCTTTCCTTCCCTAACAGAAGGATGTAGACGTTTTATGCTGACAGCAGGCCTTTGGTATCACATTCTCAGGGGACATCATAGGCTGAGGCTGCATATCCCTTTGGCTAAGGGAATAGGATTTGGTTTCATGCTTAATTCTCCCACTGCATGCTGAAATTACGAAGAAAAGGTCTTGGAAGGTAATCTGAGTTGAGTGAATACTTCACTCTACTCACTGGGGAAACTTCACAGACTTCAACAGGCACAGCATTAGTCTAGCCTTTGGAAAAAACATGAATAAAAGCTCCTCAAAAAATAAATAAGGCTGTAATGAAGTCTTCAAAAGGAGTCATATAATGGTATGCCCAGGAAAAGGTTAGTTTGGGTGATGCTGTGCCTACACCTGATAAGAAAGCTGTTAAGGTATCTCTTTGTTACTATTAAGGAAAGTCTTTTTGATTTCATCCAGTTTTCCCATTATTCACCATTTTCCACACATATGCCCTACTCTTAAAGGCAGATCCTGCAGTTTTTATTCCGTCTTTGTTCCTCACTCCACTGTCAGAATAATACTGAGTAGGAGGGATGCTCTGTGTATCTCTTCTACTCTTAGACACTGTCAGCCCTTGGTGCCTCCTGGCATGAACTCAGTTTCCAGTTTTTGACCATTCTGCAGCAGCTCCTACCTCCTTGCATTGGTAAGGACCTTCTTGGATGAGAAGATAACCCCGAGGTACATTCCTACACAGATGGAAAGTGTAGGAACAGGAGGAGACATACTGACTGACCTTCGTGCCTTCCACCTGGAGTGACAGGAGAGTCTCCCTGTGGTGAGGAGGAGGATGGGGCAGTGGACTGCTCCTTGGTGTACACATGGAGGTCAGGAGAGCAATTTGGCACCCAAGGCAGCCCTTGGGGCTGGCCCACAATGCTTACAGAAGCGAAGGTATTTTGTGGATTCAAGTCTTGAAAGCTCTATCACAGCATTAGATATGAGAATTAAAGGGTTTCATGGCAGAAGATAGGGATCTCTTTCTAACTTGTGAAGGAGAAAATGTTTGGAGAAATTGTCTGTGACTACCACTGCCCCAAAAGGGAAGTATGCATGTGCGATATGCTATATTTTTGGGGTTTGGGTTTTTTTTTTCCTTCTGTTTGTCAATATAGAAAATGCTTAGAAAAGAACAAAACAGCAATTTTATGATGACATGGCACATTTCTGATGTATGTTAAGATTTATTACTAGTAATATTTGACTTTTAATTTGGTTTCTGAATGCATTTAAAACTCAGTATTAAAAAAGCTTCACAACAATCTTCTGAAGCATGTTTATCTCGATTTTACAGGTAAGGAAACCAAGGCACAAAGAAATTAAATGATTTGCCACAGCTAGTACAGTAAGCCAGTGGCAAAGTCAGGAAAAGAAAGAAATTCTACAGTTATGGGTTCCTGCTAAGAAAACTCATCTTATCTCTAATATGCTGTTTCACACCACCTGTATTAAAGATCATGAAAACTGGCCAATTTGCACTGTTAAAACTGTTGCAAAGCCGATGATTTTTTTTTTTCCATATAAGCACAAAAATGCTACTTAAAGGGTTAATTATACTGCTGTGCTGGTAAACATTTTTCCTTGTTGCTGGTTAGACCCGTATTTAAATACTGACTGGGACAGAAGAGACTGAGCTGGCCCTGGACTCCCTGGTCTTGGTGTTGGGCATGGATATCGTACAACAAGATACGCCCACAGTGGCCTCAGGCAGCTCATCTTCCTCCGTCCATTCATTGAGATCCGGGTTATAGCACTGAATGCACTTCTTATATTTTTTCTCTATTTCATTCCAGCCACCCACTAAGTAAATTTTCCCGTTAAGGGTGGAGGCGCCAGCCGTACTAACTCCAGTTTGGAGGGGCGCTGCGTAACTCCATTGCCCCGTGTAAGGACTGTAACACTCCACGGGGAGAACGTCGACCCTTTCGGCTCGCCCCCCCAGCTGAGACCCACCCATGACATAGACCCTCTCCAGAAGGGACACTGCGCAGTGCCACCCCCTTGGGGTGCTGAGGCTGGACTTATCCTGCCAGCTATCTTTGCTGGGGTCGTACATGCACACTGAGCGAGAGTAAGCATTATTAATGTAACCTCCCGTGACCAGGATCCGACCATCCACCACTGCGCTGGCGTGGCAGCACCTGGGCACCTCCAGGGGTGCCTTCATCTGCCACTGATTAGTTGCAGGCACATAGCACTCAACCGAGGAGAGGCACCCCTCAGAGTTGCGACCACCCACTGCAAAAAGGAGGCCATTGAACACGTTCAGGCTGAAGTGGGTGCGCCGCTGATTCATGTTTGCCAGGTGAATCCAGGTGTTGAAACGAGGATCGTATCTGGAAGCATTAAAAAAAAAGAGGGTAACTGTCTCACATCCTGCTCTGCTAAATTCTACAGTCCTGTCTCCGTCCCACTACTGCTGCAACCACGGAGTTGCTAAAATTTTAGCTATTTATTTAGCCCATTAGGAGTCAGTGGAATGAAACTGGTATTCCTGGTGAAATTTCCAAATAAATTTAGCTTTTGATTAGCGAAAAAAAATGGTATCACTCAAACCTGGTATTATTTCAATAAAGTAAATCTGACTCTTTTCTGTAATTTGATTTTGTATAACAGCCTCATTAGGATACTGGAAAGAGATACTTTAAACTTTTAGAAGTTTTTTTGCAATTTACACCTACAGCAAAGATGTCAAAATTTACTCAAAGGGTTTTAAAAAATGTTAGGTGGTGATTTATACTTCTATCTTTTTAGTACTTCCTAAGTATTCTTTCCCTGGCACTCATATGGCTTACGAATTATGTGGAAAGAATGTCTTTGCTTCCTAAAACCATACCTATCTGAAATAACATTCTCTGTTGTTGACATTTAAATGAGCAACTTTGAAGTAGGAAATCGCACATTATGACTCCTGAAGGAGTTGAGTGAGGTACATTAGTACACCCATACATTTCTCCTGTTGCATGCTGAGGCGACCAGACAATCGCATGAGAAAAAGACTATAGGAAAGTAATTGCTAGCTCTCATACTGCATTGTCATCTGCAGCTCTGAAAGCAAGTCCACAGACAAACTGATGTGACTTGACATGCTCGAAGTTAATGGCAGAACAGGGAGCAGAATCCATTCAGCCATGGACCACAAGGATTCCCCCACCACCTCCCCACCACCAAGGTGTGCACCAAGCACACAGCTCCTTGTGAGAATGTGAGGCATAGCTTAAAAGCAGAAGGTCAGGAGAGCAGCAGCATAATCTCCTTCATGTGAGATATTTTTCTGACAAAGCAGATTACACAATAAAAATGATCTAGAGAAGGTTCCATGTTTGTTGATGTCTTCAGGAGAAGTTATTTGAATGTTCCTTCTGGGAGCAGGAAAGGAAGCGTTGGTGGACTGTGAATGTGTATCGCGATTGCATGTCCATAGCCTGTCTGTAGATAAAAAAGCTGAGTTGTCTCCTCAACTCCAGCCTTTGCTTCAAGCTATTGTGTGTCATCAGCTTTTAGGCTGAACTATTAAAAAATGAGTACCATCCACTTTGACTACTGCATGTTAGCCTATGAATTCTTCTGACCTTGCACTCACCAGTGCAGTCCTTGGATGACTATACATAGGAACTGTAATATTTCAGAAGTGAGGTATTAGTTGGAGCACACTGTAGAAGAGAAATATAGCCTTCCAAGAGAGGTGACATTGTTTCGAAAGTCTCAATAAACAAAACGGCTAAAGGATACGAAATGTAGTATAAAAGCTGTTGAAAATATGGTGGACAGAGCACAGAAAATCAAGACTATAGTACCTAAAGAGTGGTTTGCAGAACTTTCTATGAGGCATCAGAAGCTTCTGAAATTTAAAAAATCTCACCTTGTCTGATTTGGTGCACTTTAATAGTCCCTTAGAACATCCAAGAACTTCCTATTTATGTTTCTATTTCCTTCACTTGGAGGAAGTTTTCTCTGTCTTCCTCACTTCTCGTGTGTGTGTAACCACGGGGAAGTTTTTGGATAACTTCAGTTGCATATTTCTGTTTATTCACACTTTAATATAGAATAGCATCCATACCTCCCCAACCCTGTCCCCTTTCTATTTATCTGAGCAGTCCACGCTGCACATCGCAAACCAGCTTGGTCTATCTACCTGCATTGTTTGGAATTGATCTCTCCATCCCTTTTAAACAAATAACCAGTTACCTGCAGAAATTGCTGACCGCATGCTTGGCTTGGTTCCTGGCATCATTCTGATCTTCCCCACCAGCCACATAGAGAAATCCATCCATCACCGTCACACACTGATTAAAACTTTTAGCAGGCATTTCACTCAGCTTCTTCCATCCGTTTTCAGGATCTCTGTATAAGATGTCTCTGCTGAGAGACTTTTCTGTTAGAGCAGGGCGTCCTCCTACAGTAACTAAGACTCTGAAACCTCCACGGATCCTCGTTCTTCTGGACTGCAGTGTATTCTGATGGTAGGGAAGCAAATGATAGTTCATTGCATCCACTAGGAGCTTATGGCAGTCTGCATCTTGCATCATTCTCGGCACAGTTTGCACATAATTGACAAGGTCTTGAGCTGAGATGGTACCAAAACGGATATTACCTAAGAGATCAGCAGCAAACTTTACTCTTTTTTGGTCAAATTCCAGCCATTTTATTGCAATCTGGAATGCAACAATTTCAGAAGGCAACTGCAAGTCATCATCTGCAAGAAGTTCATTAATCTGATCAAAAGTAAGTTTTAAGAACTGGTCTGTTTCTGAAAATTCAATAAAGTTGTCTCTAATAAATTTATGCGCTGCTTCCTTGGTTGTTTTTAGTCCATATGTTTCTGCAATATTGGCAATGTACATACAATTCTCAACATTGATTTCTTGGATTAGAAAATCACAGCACATCTTTACAAGGGTGTGAATCTGTAGATAAATTGCTGTGGAAATAATACTACCTATTGTATAAAGTGAGAGAGTAAGTTTTCCAGTGTAAGCATAGGTGATAACAGTAGCTAGACCCAATGGGGATATGTCATTGAGATCTACTCGTTGAGTGGAGGGATCTTTCTTTAAGATGTTGTGAAAGTAGTCACTGCTTGAAGCCATCACCACCTTGTGAACACTGAAGGATTTGGTTTTGGTACTGATAGTCAAATCACAAAGAAAATTTTCTTGTCTCATTCTGCTTAGACCTTCCAAGAGATTTGGGCTATATGATGGGTCAGAAACTTCAGATGAGATGCAGCTGAAACCATTTCCTCCATCTAGAAGTCCATTCAAGCCATTTAGTTTACTGAGGGGGCCATCTTCCACAATGATAGTCATTTCATTGATGTCTGCTTTGTTCTTCTTCACATTCTTCTTCTTAGGGGCCATGACTGCAATGAAATATTACAGCCAAGAGCTTGCTAAAAATAAAATTAAAACATTTAGCACTACACTCTAGTTGTTAAATTTAATAGCGTAGTGATTATGCAACAAATCTAACCTTTGTCAATACATATAAATGCCACAAAACCACAACAGACAGGATAATCTATCTTCCTAAGAACTATTATACTGTCCTAGATTATAGTGGATGTTTAGTAATAACAATGGATACTCAAATTGTGAAGAATACACCTACAATGCCTAAAAAAAAATTCCCTTTTTTTTTACTAACAAGGTCATAAAAAGAACATCCCCCTATTGTCACCATATTCAAAGAGTTAAATACTCTTCCTAAGCATTAAATGAATTTGCCAGAGCGTAGAATTTTGTAAATACACATTTAAATCAGCCAGGCTCTAGAGATGAATTCATTAGACTGAAGCATAGGAAAGATATGGGCCCCCAACTTTGTTTATCCTTACTCCAGGGCTAGTACAGGTTTACAGGCAATTTTGGAATTTGACAAGGAAATATTAAGAGCGGGAGATATTCTTTAAAAAAACAGGCAGCATAAGACATAAGGACAAAGTGAATTTTAGTATGATGTAATGCTGATTTTAGATTTCGCATCTGTTCCAAATTGCTTCCAGTTTTTTGTAACTTTTGATTTTCTAGACTAGTGGTACTCTACTTCTCACGTCAGATTCAGAAATATATTCTACTCATGGCATACTTTGCTTGCTTTTCAATATCAGTAATTTGAAACATAATCCTACATTTAGGATTTTGTCTAATTAGGATTTTATTTGAGAAAAATGTCATGCAAACACTAGCAGGATGTGGTATTTTAAACAAGTTCTTTATGCGTGAAGGTTAATAATTACTCCCGTTATGTTAGAACGGATATTTGAATTAGACTTATCAACTCTAGGCAAGTTTCAGATCTTGCTGAAATGAAGTTCTTTACAGTGAGGGTGACAGAGCACTGGCACAGGCTGCCCAGGGAGGTTGTGGAGTCCCCTTCTCTGGAGATTTTCAAGACCCGCCTGGATGCAGTCCTGAGTAATGTGCTCTGGGCAATCCTGCTTTAGCAGGGGAGTTGGACTAGATGATCTCTAGAGGTCCCTTCCAACTCTGAAAATTCTGTGATTCTGTGAAGGGCCAAGATTTTGTCAAATGCAATGTGGGACGGCTCCTAAGTAATTTTCAAAGGAGCTATTTCAGATAAATATATGTATGTGCAAATACATCTTGAAGGAAAGCACTGATCTTCAGTAACATAGTTAAAACAGAGTTTTACCTCTGAGAATGCTGAGATCAGCATTCAAATATATTAAAATATAGCATTTATCTTCAATTTATCTATTGATTTTAAAACAATTTACACCAGCTAATTTTCTCTGTGATCCTTGCGCTCATTCATGAAAAAATGAAACAATAAAACAAACGACCAAATTATTTTAGGTAACTTAATAAAAAAGTCCAGTAATATTTCAACCTAAAATCTCAGCACATCAATTTTTCCTTAAGCACACAGCACGTAACAAAACGGCAATTTAATTATAGAAAGGAATGGTTGCTGCCTGTGAGCACCAGGATTATTTTTTTTTTGCTGCTGCTACTGGGTGATGACCATGTGGAGGGCAGGCGAGGGAGAAGGCCATGTGTGCCCAAAGTGTCAGTGTCAGCCCGTGCTGACGTGAGCTGCGATCCCCAAAATGTCGGTGTGCCAGGGCTGGGGTCAGCTGCTGCCCGGCTCCCCCAGCTCCGGCTGCATTCCAGGAGCTGCATCTGTTGAGACCTATCAGAGTCACCTCCCAAAATAGCAACCTCCCAGCAGCTTGCCATTTTAAGACAGGTTCAATCGAAGGTATAGCTGGTGTTTTAGTACACTTTGGTGGTTTAACACAACTTTTATTTCCAAAAAAACCTATGCTATCCCAAGTGTCATGTACGTTTGTTGACAAAGAATAAAACAAAATGAAACTTTTGGATGTTTTTGTATGTTACTCACATAGTTACAACTTTGCATATTAATAGCCACAACTTTATAGCCGGCAAGGGCATACTTTTTCAGCAGTCATATTTGTGGTTCTAAATATTTTTAGAGACCCATAACTTAGAGATTTTAATACATGCAGCACTTAATGTTTATTGCCTCACTGCATCATTGCAGAGCGCATTTAAATCCGTGACATTTTAAGCTCTCCGTTCAAAAATGTCCACTCTTCAAAGTTTTTTTCCTGAAAAACATTTCTCCATCAGCAGAAATGTCACCAGCTAGTTTAGTGTATAATCACGTAAGTGACAGGACATGCAAAACCAGTGAAACAAATCAAATGATCCTATCATAAATCCAAGTTACTGAACTTTGAAAACCCTGGTTGATTTGGTTTTATACAGCTGTTTGCTTTTACCTAATTTATTTTAGCTTAAGAACAACTCATGCCAAAGGACACTCAGGGTCCCAAAACAATGCATTCAAACAACCAACCTTCCCCCCTCCTTTAAAATGTTACTTCTAACCACTATCAAAGTGAGGAGTTAAAAACCCCTTACCCTCCTCGGAAAAATGGTGTCCCAGACCTGTCCAAGAAGCTGTCAATGAAAATGCCTCTTCCTCGGAAAAATGAGAAGACAAAAAGAGAGGAAATGTGGTAAAAAAGAGAGAAAGATCAGAGGCCACTTTGTAAGTCCCAGCTCGTGGTTTCCAGTGTGACGCTTTGCTGTCACAGTGAGCAGAAGAGACCGGAGCCTGCGCTCGGGTGCTCTTTAAAATGACCCCTCCTCTCCGTGCCTCACTCCCTGCCTCTGCCCAGTCACCGGAGCTTGGCTTCCCAGGGCTGCCTGGCCTCCGGAAAATGGGGGGACAAGCCTGGACCTTCTAAATGCACAAGTAACAGGGAGGGGAACGTGAAGACAGTAGGTAGATCCACAGCAGGTAATAATTGGCCCAGGTGAGTGCGGACCACTGGGTTCCCCACATCAAAGCTGGGCGCCTGGGCAAAAGCCAGTATGCTCGGGAAGGGGGACAGAACATAAGGAAGATATTTTTCATGATGAGGGTGATGAGACACTAGAACAGGTTGCCTACAGAAGCTGTGGATGGCCCTGGAAGTGTTCAAGTTCAGGATGGACGGGGCTTTGAGCAACCTGACCTAGTGAAAGATGTCCCATGGCAGGGGGATTGATCTTTGAAGGTCCCTTCCAACCCAAACCATTCTCTGATTATATTATTCTATGATAAGTCAGCATGCTTTGATTTGTTGGTAGAATGCAAGCATCACGGTAAGGCCACAGGGAGATGTACCCTGGTCAACTAGAGATGTGAACAAAACTCAGGTCAGCTTTAGATCGTGACTGCTTTGTTTGCTCTGAGCCCTTTGTGTATACTCAGCCAAATACTATGCACCCCGAAGCTCATACTTAGTTCACTATGATAAATAGTTACAAAAAATATCTTTAAATGCATTAATCTGAATGCGTTGAGTAATCACACCAGTAATGTCTTCAGGAAGACTGAAGCTCCTTATGCAGATTGGAGATAACTGTGAAAGCGTATTGAATTTCAGTGGGAACTGCAGTCTTTTCAGTAAAAAGATGGAAAATAAACTCATTTTCTTTTTAAGCTGCTGAATAAATGTACAAGCTACTACTTGCACATGCACAGGCCCTGATTTCACAGAAGGTGGCTTTGAGGAACTGTGTTCAGCAAGGCACCCAACCCCAGGTGGGTCACTTGGACCTCCCCCTTGAGGCAGACCTCTCCCAGTACTCGATTACTCGCTCCCAGTTCATTGCCTGATTTTGCCCAGCCAAGCCTCTCAGATCAATCCACCCCCGAAACTCTCACCTAGCTCTTCTCCTTAGCTCATACAAACCCCACTTCTCCTTCTGGTTTCATTCTTTCCTCGGAAACTCACCCAGCACTGACAGTAGGGCACAGAGAGGACCCTAGGGATGAGATAAGAGTTTGCAAGCCTTGGAGAGGAGCTGATGGCACAACACAGCTCTCGAGCACATAGTGACAGAGCAATTATTGGAGCTATATTTTTGTGTGTGGCAACGCCACTTCTTCCTGACAGGAGTCCCGCATCGATGCCAAACAAATGAATCCTCATAACAATCAGCATTCACCAGCAGTTTTGAAAAGGAGTCCCGCATCGATGCCAAACAAATAATAATGCCTCATAATAATCAGCATTCACCAGCAGTTTTGAAGGACCAAGTAAATTTGGAATTCTTTCCTCTGCCAAAGTTATGACAGGTGATATGAGAAATGCTACAGTTAGATCTGGTGCTAGAAACAGTTTTCTTGTTCTAGGAAAGTTTTTGAGGTTTTAAATGTTTTCTTCTTTTTGACCAGCATGAAGTCATGATCTTTCAGAATAACTGGGCAGAAGTGCAGCAAGGACATTCTCCTCATCCCAAAAAACATAGTAACTTGATAATTAAGGCTTTCAAGCAACATATCGGAAACCCAGCTTCAATTGCATAATCCATATGACAATCTAAGCCTCAACTTCCTTACTCAAATATTACTTTAACTATAATGCTTGTGTGGGATGAAGCTCTTCCAAGATTTCTTCTGTATAAATGCCACTTTGTATAAGTAATTTCATATTTTTAGGGCCAGAAAAAGAAAGAAAGAATAACTGGTTGCGGATGGCCAGTTTTAAGGTAGGGTTGATGAAGTCTCTACACACTGTGAAGATGAGTTAATTATTTCTGTAAAATATAAGATGAGCATGGGAACTGGAGACCCAGTCTGCAACAGGGACCTAGATCTGTTTTGTCCATATCCAACCTGAACTCTCTACCTACTGTATTGCCCTACCAGCTATTTTGGTTTCTCTACTGATAAATTTGCTACAGGCTGTGCCAAGCTGTAATAAGATCTATTTTGCAAGAGTAGTAACCCTAATGTGCAAATACCAGGCTTTTGCCTACTTAAAATTCCCCTGTAATTCAAACTAGGTACACTCTTTTTAACACTTCCCCCAAACATTGCTTTAAAAAGTGAAAGGTGTTCTATATGTCTATTTTAATTATATCTACATTAAATTCGAAGGAGATAATGCAAACCCATACATTTTTTTTAGGAGGGACTCATTCAGCTTGGAGTCTTTCACGTGCATGCTCAGCCCCAGCAAGCTCCATGGCAAAGATCCCATTTCAGCGATGCAGTTCACGCAGCATCAAAGACTGATTCCCTGCTCTACTTTTTTTGCGACCTTAGGTAAACCACAGAGGAGCCACACTGAAAGTTGCAGGGCCCAAAAACACCATGTGTCATCCCTTTCCCCCCCCCCCCCAAAAAAAAAAATAAAATAAATGCACTAGCCATCAGGTTGTAAATAAGGCAGGACAGAAAGAAAAGGATGCCCTCTTCAGCCTGAGTGCTGCCTTCACCGGCAGGTTAGGACTGCAGGAGCATGCCTGCGGGCACAGTCATGCCTTCATGGGTTTGGCCTTGCTATCAGAACAGGTCAGGGGTTGATCTGCTGGAAAGCAGCTCTGCAGAGAAGGACCTGGGAGTCCTGGTGGACAACAGGATGACCATGAGCCAGTAATGTGCCCTTGTGGACAAGAAGGCAAATGGCATCCTGGGGTGCATCAAGAAGAGTGTGGACAGAGGTCGAGGGAGGTTATCCTCCCCCTCTACTCTGCCCTGGTGAG